GGGGAGGGGGGAAGAAAGCGAGATAGAAAGATAGACCCTCCCCCTAAGCCCCCCTCCCCAAACACCCTGTAACCCGACTCCCCACGCCCCAGCCCCCAGGTGGGGGTGGGGGGAAAGAGAGGCAAAACCAAGAAAGCAGATCTTCTCTCTTCTCCGGGGGTGACGGGGGGCGGGGGGCTGCGGGATCTCTGCCCCCACCCCTCCCGCCTTGGACCCTGAGTTTCTAGGCCCTGCCGTCCAGACGCCCCCTTTAGGCTCCCGCACCGAGCCCCAGTCCTGGAGCGGCGGCGCTCAGTGGCCCCCAGTAGAGCCCAGCCCCTTCCAGCGCTCAAACTCTTTTGTTTTAAATGAACTGGATGGAGCAGCATGGAACTGACGGGAGGGGGGGCGCGCCGGGGGCGCCGGGGGCATGCTGGGAATTGTAGTTTCCCGCCCTCAGGGGCGCGGGGCTGGGGGAACAGATTCCTTGACCGGAGTGGGATAGGGACGTACCCTTCCATCTTTACCCACTGCTAGAAGGCGTACCTTGGGGGTGGGATGGGAATCAAATCGTTAATTTTTTTTTCAAGTGGTGAGCAAAGGGAGAGAGACTAGGGTGCAAAAAACCGGAAAGGATTTGAAAAAAAGATAATGAATTGCGTGCCCCCCTCCCAAGAGGGGCTCACTCCCTGTCCCAACAGATCGGGGGTCCCTCTTTCTTATGGTAATGAGGGGAGATCGAAAGGGCGGGGGAGCAGTCGCGGCTCGGTCACTGCGGCTTTCTCTCGCTTGCTTTCTCACATCTTACCCCTCCCTGTCGCGCTCTCGCCGCGTCCCCCCTCCCGCTCGCCCAGCGTCGATCCCGGCTGCCGGCCGCGGGGAGAGCTTCTCCGCAGAGCAAACAAAGCCCGCAGCCGCGATGGGGGGAGACCGCTCTGCGCGCCGTGGGGGCCGAGGTGGGGTGCCTGCCTGGAAGATGGGACCCCCTGGAAAAACACGGGGTCCCCTTATCTTCCCCCAGCGGCAAACCATCCCCACCCCCACACCCCAGTCTCGGATATCTCAGAGGCACCGACTGGGAGGTGAGTTAGATCACGTCCCTCAGGTCAGTGGAGGGGCAGGGATGGTTGTGGAGTGATGGGGAGAAGGAAAAAGTGGATTCGGAGAATAGGGAGTTAGAAGAAGAGGGGGGCAGAAAGTAGGGAGTCTGGGAAAGTCTTAAAGGCATGATATGTCTTTAACAATTTAGGGTAAGAGCCTTGAGTGTGGGGTTGAACAGAAAGAGGGAAGGGAGAATAGGGGTGGACTTGGACTTCTTTCAAGCTAAGGAGTGATCGGCCTTAGTCCTGCTATCATTCTGCTTGGCTTCACACACCTCTCTCCAAATGCAAATCCATTAATTCAATCTTTTTGACTCCGGACATTTGGTGAACACGGAAATAGGCTCTTAAGGCTTGAACTGGACAGTGAGATACTTTTAGAGTTTGAGGAAGTTAGAATGTAATGTAGTCTTTTCTTTTCCCCCTTACTGCCTATTTTCAACAATTTGGGGGCCACTATTTTAGTCTGAGTCTTTCTGTAGAGGTGAAAGGGTGACACACAGCTTGAGGGCCTAATGGCAGATTTTAAGAGGAACTTCCTCAGAATTATAATAAAATAATTAGTTGCAGAAATGATATGTCCTTTTCTGAATGGAGCGTCTTGGAAAGTGAAAAATTTGAACTGGGTTTTGTGGTGAAGTCCTGCTTGGAAGCAGGAAACTGAATGAGGCAATCTCACAGATGACCTGGCACTAGAAGACCTTGAAGGGTGAACTCCATAGCCCAGTTCTGTTCACTGACTCTTGAAAAAGAATGAATTTGCACACCAATGGAAGGGAACCTCACCAGAAGGGTCTGGAGATGGCACACGGCAGGGTTCTGCCTTCAGTACTAAGCAGGAGACCCAGGGAAGGAGAACCTGAAGAACCTTCTCCAAAGGCTCAGGGAGTCAAGGAGGGTGCCTCCTGCGTTGGGGACTTAACATAAGATTAACAAGAAGCTTATTGTGCTGGGCACTAGTCACCACAAGTAAGTAGTAGGAGAAGAATCTGAGGGACAGATCCCGAGTAACAGGCTGTTTCCTGAGTTTTGTTCCCTCTCTGTCTGTCCCAGAGACCAGAATGGGGGGGATTTCCCTAGGGACTAAGGAGCTCTTGTTGGAGAAAAGTTCCTACTTTAAGGACCAGGTGACCATTTCTCATTTTAATAGACATAGAAATTGCTTAGGACTTGCTGTGTGCTAGGCATTTTTGTGGGGCCACCAACTGGTTTGAGCCTTCCTGTCCCCCCCCCTGAAATGAGATTCCCCCAGACACCCACCTCTGAATGTGCCCACCTCCACTTTCCTCCCTGCTAAGCTAATTAAAGCAGGAAGTTAATGACCAAAGAAGCCTTGGGGATTTGGCTGGGGAGGAAAACAAAAGGCAGAAACAAGTGTGTGTGAGTGAGGAGGGAGGCAACTGCTGAATGGGCATAGGGGATGCTGAGAGCTGGGCATCGGAGGCAGACAGAGTCCCTGCTGGACCCACATTACAGATCCAACAACAATGATGACCAGTCTCCTGGGTGCGTTAGGGCACCACACAAACATGTGACTCCACACATACGTGTGTCATAGCAGGAGAGAGGCAAATGTTACCTGGTGCCCTCGGAGCAGGCTGTGTGTGAGTGTATGTGTGTGAAAGAGAAGGTCCTTAGGTGTGCACATGTGGGCGCATGTGCCCAAGCATCGTGTGTGCCTGCCCACCAAGTAGATTGCCAGAGCACCCAGACAGCTGAGGAACAGAGTGTGGGTTTAGGAGTGCAATTCTTGGGGAGTTTTGATGAATCCTTCCTAAACATTCCCTGAGTCTGGTGGCCTCCTTTGTTCAGCTAACCTCGCCTCTGCCTACCCTACATTGACAAACCCCTTCCCCTGACAGCCTATTCTAGAATTATTCGGATGATGGAGGGCAGAAGGCCTTACTTTAACAGTTTTGTCAGGACATAGATGACTCTGCCTCCTACCCACCTCTCCCCTAATTCTCTCTGCCTTGACCAGAAAAATGCCGTATTGCTCCCTTTCAGGATCTTGGAGATCAGGGCCTTGTTCTAGGCTTTTTCATTGTCCCTTACAGCCTGCCCAAAGCAAAGGTTCAATAAGAGTGTGTGGAGTATAACTGCATTTTTGAAGCTTTGTGGTATAAGAAGAAAAGGCAGGCCCCGGCAGCTTGTTAGTTCTGCCCTGGGCAGGCACTTAATGCTGAGTTTCAATTCTCTCATCTCTAAGGTGAAGGGGGGAAAAGTCCAATCTCTCCCATAACACCTGGCTCAGTTTTCATTTTTGTTCCCTGACTCTGATTGTTCACCTTTGCAGTTGACTTTAGCCAGGTTGTGGTCTTAATGAATTAATTTTATTTCGTTACTCATTCATCCTAACTATTGCTATTGAGCTCCTGAGATTCACTAGGCACTGAAGAAGATTCTGACCCACCATGAGTCACTTGAAGTCAGTTCTAGGTTTGTTGTTGTTATGAGCCATTGTCAGTACCAACTCATAGCAAACTCTCCAGTGGGTTTTCAGAGGCAGTAAAGTGCATAAAAGGTAGATTGGCCCTCTTTTCTCCCTTAGAGAAGCTGGTGGGTCCCAACTGTGTGCCTTTGGGTTGGCAGCACAACTCCTCACCACTAGGCCACCACAGCCCTCTATGTTCCCAAACAGCAGATAGTTTAAAAAAATAATTTCTGTTGAACAGGAATGCAGGTAAACACACACACTCTCTCTCTGTCTGTTTCTCTGTCTGTGTCTCTGTCTCTCTTTCTCATTCCAGGCCTTCAGCCTGGGGAACAAAGGACCCTTTTGAGTTAGCTATAGGTGAAGTCTGTATCTCTCTCTCTCTTTCTCTCTCTCTCTCTGTGTGTGTGTGTGTGTGTGTGTGTGTGTGTGTGTGTGTGTGTGTCTACAGACAAGAAAGAAGATCTGCTTGAGAGTGGAGGTGGCCCAGGTTTCCTGTGCAGAGGGTTGGAGGACAAGAATGAGGTAGATGAACCATATTATGTGCTTGTCTGTGGAGTGGTGCCCTTTCTCTCCTCTGAACAAACATGGGCACCTGTTCTCCCTAGACACATGACAGGGATGAGGCACACACACCTAATACCCCCCTGCCCCCACTCCATTCTTAGAACCCCTGAGGGAAAACAAGAGCCAGCCCCCCACCCTCAGGCCAGGCCTGCTGTACCAAGCAGACTGGTCCTTGAAGAGGTTATCTCATCCATCTCCCTATTCTTTTAAGATTCCCTTCTCCATCTGTCTCAGTCAGCTGAGCCTCTTTTCCTATGTGTTATGGAGCTCTTATAGAGCTCTCGTTTTCTTAATACCTTCTTTGTGGGAAGTCCAACCTGCTATCTAACCACCATCCTTCCTGCTGAGGGTCCAGCCATTTTCTTCTCAGTTACTAGAATGTGCTCAATTCATTAAATGTTTTAATTCAACCAATGAGAATGTACTTACTAAGTCTGCAGGCTACACACACACACACACACAGAATCAGACTTGATGTCTGTCTTTAGCATGACACAGACTCTAGCCTTTATGCTGACCCAGAGAACATGGCCAAAGAAGATTAAAAGTGACAACAAAAAATAGTCTTTGGTATTCTGTGGGCTACAAAGATTCGAAAGCAGAATTGTGGTTCACTGTGGACTGCTAAGAGAACAAACAGGTTTATCCTGGAGAGGGTGAAACCAGGCTGTTCCTTGGAAGGATTTTGAAGCTCCATCTGACATACTTTGGGCATGTGAGAGGGATGTCATGCTTAGAAGGGTGGAGGGACAACGCAGGAGAGGAAGACCCTTGATGAGATGGATTGACTCAGTGACTGGGGTTTTGGGGGTGGATATATCAGAGATAATTAGTCTGGCTGAAGGTAGAGCAGCGTTCAGAGCTGTTGTACATAGGGTTGCTATGAGTTGCAAGCAGCTAGACAGCACAGAACAAAAACAACATGAGACCATCATGTAGCCTTGATCTCCAAGGACCCTGAAGGGCCAGCCTTGAGATTTGGACTTAGGTAGACTAACACCTCTGTTTCTCCCCTGGGACCACCCCAGCACATCCATTCATCCCCTGCCCAGGTCCTCTGCATCTGATTTCCCTAGGGAGAGTAGCTCAGAAGGGGCTGGGGCAGAGCCTGGGCCCCCAGGACAGCTGGCTGACAAGGCTCCTCTGGGAGTCAAGGTTGGACCCAGGCGTCCCAGAGGCGGCTGATACCGGAGCTGTGACAGTTGGCCCCAGATTCCTCACCCAGTGGCGCCAGCTCTGGTTTCTGGCTGCATGAAGGAAGCAGAGGGTCTCCTGGACCAGTCAGAGTTGGGCAGAGGCTCTTTAGAGCAGAAAGTAGGATAAAATAAACATACACTTAGTAGGTTGTTGAGGGAATTTCTTTTCCCTCTGTGCCAAGTACTATGCTAGGTGCTATCAGGGATTCTGAAGCATCAAACAG